TTATTGGTCGTCGATTCGTTTTTTTTTATAATGTTCGAATTTTGAATTGTGAGCTTGGAATTGTTACTTGTTACATTTGTAGCAACTTTGTAGATCCATTCATAAACGTTTTAGTATGTTTTGAAATTTCAAATCTTTAGAAATCGTTGGCTACATGGAAACCATATAATTAATAATCACAATCTAATAATAATCTCTTCATACCGTCACATATAAGTGACATTAGAATTCGTACGTAAAGTGTATGCAGGGAATAAAATGAATGAGCTTCATGCACAAATCAAAATTCACGACTAATATTTGAATTTCCAATCGCCTACGCGCACTTCGTAATGCGAAATTAGGAATTACAATTTATGTGAATTGAGAATCAGCGCATAACTCACAACTGGGGCATGTAGGTCAGGGATACAGAATGGAGATTTGATATTTATTTTCGCACTTTAATATTATTTTATCGTGACTAGAACGACGACGGTCCTCGGTGCGGACGACCTCAATGCTTAGGTTTATCGAAATACCTTTTTGTGTCTTCGACGATCCCCGCTCACGTACAAGCGGCCTCATAAAAGCTTGCACACACCAACATCTTAATAACAGAATCGGAACGCTTCGAGCGATTTTTAAAATAAGAATATCATAACTGGCCACCGAGGGGCCCCGGGGGAGGCGGGGACGGTGGATTTCGGAAGAACGTTCGCACCCCCCTCAAGTTTTTAAAATAAGAAAATTTCGGTGGAGCGTGATATTTTTAAAATAAGAACCTCTTTCGTGGCATATTCCGTGGAGAGAGATTTTAAAATAAGAATAGTTTCGCGATACCCCCCGGGCCCCGGCCCCTTCGTCTGGAGTTTGAAATAAGAATTTGGGGAGCCAGATTCGGGTGGGGCGGGCATATTCGGTGGGTGTCGGGTGTTCTTGATGAGGATCGGAGGTTTTTCGTAGAATTTCGTTAGCTCTTTTCGGGGCCGTTGACCGGCGGAGTCGATACTTCGATGAATGTTATAGTAATTGGATCGAGTTCACTGTTTTTATTTTGCTCGAGACGCCGTCTACTTTGATATTCGAAGATAGCTCGGCTCGTTCAGGAAATACGAGTTAATGAAATTTTGGTTTGTACAGCGCCTCGTTTATCGCAACTTACTAATTGAATTTAGTTTTCATTTGGATGAAATTGTAACTCTTTTAAATTTATATCTAAGTTTGAAAATCGATCTTCTAGTATTATTTACTGAAAATTGAAATGTTAAGTAATCTGAATTTGTCTTTGACTATGAATATGACCTAAAACATATGTACCTTGCACTATTTTAAAATCTATGTAGGGATTTAAAAACAATTCATTATCTTGATAATGCCACTTTTATACTAAAGTATTGATTATATTACTTCGAATAGAGACAATTAAAAGGTTCTTATGAAAACATGCAAAGCCGTGGAATCTTTGCAAGTTTTCATAGGTTTCTCTGCTGTTTATGGAGAGCTAATAATCTAATTCACAAGAAGGCAAAAAGACATGCTGCCGTACACACGTAGATAAGAAATAGTAGATCAGTCTGAAAAACATCTGCTAGACCCTAAATCCTAGTGCTTTCAAAGGTCATTTTCGTTAACACGACTGCCGAATCCATAACAAGAAATATGTAAAGAGATAAACACGAGAAGGAATATTAAGAAGGGGCTTCTCGGAATGCTAACTTAAAACATCGTAATTCAGAAAACTGTAGTGTTTCTCTGAAACCTAAGAAATGAGCGTTAGTTTTGATTACTTGATAGTTGTCAACTTAATGCGAAGATGGCGTTGCCTTTTTTTCAAACTTTTAGGTAAAGTTCAATCTTAATCTTTTATTAAAAGCGAATGAATACGATGAATCTTCAATGTAAACATAATACAAATTAATATCTGTTTTTTTCGTATTTCACGTTTAATATCGGAAAAGTGAAAAAAAATTCTTAAACGATCGAAGCTGTAAAAGTATGGATTTTTGAAACAGAAGATGATTGTTCTTTATTTAAAATTAGACCTTTTAAAGTATAGAAAACAATGCAATAAAAATAAATAGTTCTGAATTTAAAATCTGAAGTTATAAAAGCATGGAAATGAAAAAAATAAATTGTTCTTATTTGAAATTAAATTTTGTTCCAGGGTTGTCGCACGTGTGCCATGGCGGAGTGCTCGTTCGCGCGCTGCCAGCAGGAACGACGCGCGATTCGTAAGGAGCTGCAACGCTGGACTAAAAACATGGTCTACATATTGGGTGAGTGACAACCCCTTATTTAGATATCTTATATATTTTATTATAGATAAAATAGCGAGTTGAGTGACTTACGTTATTTATTTGAAAGATATTTTTTTTTCTAAATTTTTCTCATTGTTAAGGCAAATACTTAGATAAAAAAATATGCCTACATAAAGATCTAAAACGATTTTGCTTAATACCAAAACATTTTCCAACGTATATGTTAATTAACAATCATTCTGGAGCCATGGTGACATTTAAACACAGCCACGACAGATCTGTATATACTTAGCCCAGCCTTAAATACTATTACAATAAAAAAAAAATTAAAACTACATTAATATTTACCCTATTATATGAGAATATTCACTGTGTTTTCTTTTTTCGCGCCAAACGGTGTTAAATATTTTCGTGATATTAAAATGGAGTGGGGTGATAAAGGGAACCGAATTTCTGTGATTGCATTACACAAAGTAGGTATTGAGCTAAACGCAATTTTTGTGACTCCCGCTTGGTATTAGTAGAATGTGTACCGGGCTATTGATAATTTGTGATCAATTCTTATAACCACTCACCATCAGTATACCCATTTGTATTGATAACTTGATAGCCCAGAAAACGTCTTAAACTTATTTCTAACTAAATATTTATTTTAACTACACAGAGAACCAATCTAAAAAACCTTGGAGAGTAAAGTGCAGTCCACACAAACATTTCATTATTTACTTTTAAACTTCAAATGCCACTGCGGAGTTGTATAAAAGCTTGACGTATCTCTAAAAATACCTGTTACTCAGATTGCCAGACCTAAAAATAGTATTATCCTGACAAATTAATTTAATAAGGAATTAATTTGGATTTTGACTATTTTATTTTAAAAGTTTACAAATGGTAAATAAGGGCAAATGAGCAGACGGTCACCCACCTGATGGTAAGTGACTACCGCCGCCTATGGATACTTAAGAGACACAAGTACTTTGCTACTCTATGAGTGGGGAGGGGGAGCCCCTACGTGACTGTGGGGAGAACTCTCCCTAGAACTAGAGGGGTTCTTCTCCGGTAACCTGTTCATTCAGTGAAAAGCAATGTTTTTTTTTTGTTTATTCGTTATTCATTAAATAAGGCAATATATTACATATTATATCTGTAGTGTGCACTTGTACTTTAACATTAAGTCCCTAAATATACCACCGAAATCTCTTAAAACGAAAACTTTTTGCCAAACTAACTGACAAATTGAGAATTGGAAATGCGTCATGGCTATTACATTTACATAGCAAGTGATGCCTTAAAGATTCGCAGTACTTTTCGTAAAAAAACCTATAATTTTGGGTACATTGCTCCAGACATTATGACAAATACAGATACATGCATACTATCGAGGGCCAATACATTCTAAATTAATTTCCCAACAGACTGGCATTTTTTTTGCTCTGATATCACTTGTAATACGTGCATACAATTTATATATGTAGGTGTGTTTATCTCACTGAAAGTTGTATGAATTCTGTTTGTTTGTTCAGGTCTTATTGCAATACTAGTTCAGTTTAGGATGAACAAGTTTACTGTGTATTTGTGTTGGTGGTTATTAGAGGACCTGCAGCGTTTATTTCGCTGTCAGGAGTTGAAGGTTCTATACGTACTACTGTTTTTATGTATTTTTAAGGTTTAGGGGCAGACGAACAGATGGGTCTTGTGATGGTAAGTGACTACCACCACCCATGGATATAGGCAAATCAAGAGATACCAGTGTTACCATTTAGTTACCTTGACCTTGACGCAATTTTAGCATATTATTTGTAACATAATATTTTAATCTTAATATTTCTAATATTGATGGTAAAAAATATATATTTAAGTATTTAATCCATGTTTTGGAAATCAGATTGAGTCAACTGACTGCCTCGGTGGTGCAGTGGTAGCGTTTGAAACTGCTGTGCTGAGGTCTCAAATGTTTGTTTGATCTGAAAATATTTGTTTTTAAGGTTATTGCATGTAGCTATAATATGTAAGTATTAAAAAAAAGTATTCTATCAGTCAATCTAGCTTTCATAGTACTAGCTCTGCATAGTTTGAACTAGATGGCGTTGTGTCCTATGTCTGAGAAAAAAAATTGTTATTATTAGATCTAAATATTATTGTGTAATATGTCCCAGAATAATATTAAAACTAATAAATTTTCTAAAAAAAAATTTTTTCGAACTTGGCAACGTTCCAATAATTTAAGGTTTAGTGGCAAGACTTATAGGTCGGTACAAAAATCTTAGACTATGGTACAAAATGGTAGTGATGTAACATTTGAGCGCGTAAGAGATAAGACTAGAGCAGTACCTATGTCTACACGTGCGTATAGCGACTAAGTGCGAAGCAATGTGCCCTCTATATTGGTGCCAAACGCTGGAGGAACTCCGCAGGCATTTACACCTTGACAATGATAAGGAGACGTTCATGCAAAGAAGAAGAAGGGACTGATAATAAGAAGAGTAATGAAGAATATTATAAATTAAGAATTTGAAACTCATTGAAATTTTGTTCATAAACTGAATGTTTCAGAATTGTAGGTAGAAAGAGAGTTTATTATGTGTAGATATAATTAAAAAGAAATAAAAATAATATGTAATTTATAAATTCGATTCTTTTGTAATAATAACTGAACTATATAAGAAGCATAAGATTATTAAGTTTCAGACGAAAAATAACTGTTGTAAATTATTTACTGTATCTACGAGGAATATGATAAAAAACTAACTAACGTTATAATCAGTGATAGCGGTGGAGACCATTGTGGCAGGGTGCATCGTCGACAGCAGCGCGCATGCGCCCCTTGTGCCTCTCCGCCAAACAACCTGTTGCAACTGGGCCGGCGTGCACTAATGCAACTTCTCTCCCGCAATCACCACCTAAATTATTCAATACTAAGTCTCTATCAACTGCTAACCTACGATTAACTTCCAAATAACTATTCCAAAATCGAACACCAAGTGTATAAATTAAAAAACGAACTGCCGAAACTCAAAATTTAAATTTAGAACGACCGTCTTGTAAGTGCGTCGCGTCTTGAGACTAAGACGTCGTAGTGAAGTGCTGTGTGAATTGATAAATAGGTGCTTTTTTATTAATGATATATATTATTCAAACGTTATATGTGTAGCTTGTCAGTTTACTAAATAATATTGTTAATCGTGTAGTTTAAAAATATAAGTAAACTTTGGAAAGTTTATCAAAGTCAATTTTGAAAATCGAATTTCGGTTTCGGAATTCTAATTCGGTTGTGTGGAGTAATCGCAACGGCTGGCCGAAGTTTTGCGGTGTCTGAAAACGTGAAGTTGGCATTCGCAAGCAACAAGTGTTCGTCTGATGCCTTCCCCGGTAAATGTGCCACTGTTAAGAGTTTGCATGCCCGCTGTGCCGGGATTACGTTGCGTACGCTACCAGTCCCGTGAATTCGGGATTTTTGTTATTCTTATTTGTTGATTTGCAACTCGTGATGATTGTAACAACACGCTGTATGTTCACGCTTTATTGTAGACTTTTGTACTAGTTAAATGTTGCTTTTTTCGTATTAAATTTTTTTTCTATAAGAGGGTGGGGCGTTCTTTTGTTTTAGACGGCAACCTACGTCACACGCCATCTTAGGTCGACAAAAAAGTGTCATGGCGTCTGGAACAGAAGTTTTTTGTTCCAGTTTCCGAGATCGGTGTCTTTCGGTTACGTAATTTTTTAAACGGTTTTCTTTTCTTTGACATATGTTTTTCTCGGCATGGGGTTTTTTAAATGTCATCTGTGTAATTGCTCGATGGGAATTAGAAATTTTGTCGTTTTAAACTTTCCTCGTGACATGTAGGTGCTTGCTTGAATATAACAGCCTACTGGTTCGTTTTTATGAAGGCAATACAACTTAATTAGACGTTTTATTTGTAGGTCTGGTTACTGATATTTAATATTTAATTAAGTATAAGACATGACCATCGACATTCTATTGGACTATTTTTTTGTGATATTAGTAGTATGTTTTATGTCTAGTTAGCTTTTTTTGCGTTCCTAAATCATAAAGTCTAAAGATTAAGCTATAATTAATAATATTTATTGATTTACCAAGAATCTATCGCCTAGTCGGGAATACCCATTTAACGTACCCCTCTAAAGTACATAAAGACATTTAATATGAAAACTCGGAAGTCGTAGATTCGATGCCCACCCAAGACAAATAATTTTGTGTGATGAGCATGATCACTTGTTTTGTATTTAAGTGTACTTAGAAATATATAAGTATTTTTATCATCAGTCTGGTTACCGTAGTGCAGGCTCTACCTAATTTAGGATTAGACGGCCATTCGTGAAATTTTCAAGTTTTATCATTACTACTTAGGTAAATCTAATAAAGTACCCGAAGGCGCTAGAAAAGTACCTTATAGAAGACATGTACTAAAATTACACTCCCAGCTTGTTCTGGTAGCATAAAGAGATACCAGCGGAATTAGAAATGGAGATTACGGTGTACATTTCTATTCAGAAGTTCCAACAGTAACCGCTTACGATCAAAAGTTCAAAGTCCCTCTAATGGCTAGCGGCAACAGCCGCCATACTGTCATTATAAATTAAAAAAAAATATTAGAAAAGATCTGACTATCTTAGAACTTTTAAACAGATATTCTTGAATTATTAAAAGAAGACTTGAGGGGGGGAGGAGTTCAAAGTCGGATACAATTGTCCATTTGTGGGGTAGTACTTTAACATCATTAAAACCTGCATATCCTAAAAGTTATTTCTTCAGAACCTTTCTCTGAGCCATTCCCTAAACTAGGTTATAGTCGGCTTTAGGTCTTCTACGATACGCCTGAACTTCGATTTTTACGCGGAAGAGTGCTATGAGACCTCCACAACCCACTACTTGGGTTGTGGCGGTCTGATAACAGTCTATCTACAGAACTTCGGACTTCGGACTTTCGGACTTCGGTCTTTTTTAGGGCTCCAACTACCGTAACGTTTCCCACAGATGTTCGTATGACAGCCGGAACCGACAGCTTAACGAGCTCTCTAACGAGGGGTCTCAATGTGTTAAGAATAGTCACCCATCCATAGAGTGACCTACCTAGGACGCCTGAACTTTGCTATGTGTTAACCTACTCGTACCACTTAGCCACGAGCCTCTCCCAAGTTATTTCTTCATAAATACATTTTTATTATCGTTACGTAATAACCAATTTCGTTTATAACTTTCATATTCGGTCGGACAGATTTAGGTTGGAACTGACACCGTCACGGTTCAGTGGTTAAAATACGTGGGTTTTGGCTGCGGGCGACAGACGTGGGTTCAAATTGAGGAAAACAACCACTTGTTTCTGAAATATTGACAAGTGAATCATTTTATATTTTTCCGAGTGCTTTATTTTTGCATTTAATTAATTGTTGTTGTAATAATCCGTACATTTAAAAGAGTGCGATTTATGTTTTTTTACGGTATTAAGGGGCAAACGAGCAGAGGGGCCCCTGATGGAAAGTGACTACCACCGCCCATGCACGTCTGCAGCTCAAGAAACACAAGTGCGTTACCGAACGATCAGTGGTGGAGGGCAGAGGAGGGGAGGGATTTAGTAGTACAGTTAAACTTAGCCTGTATTAGTGCTTATCGTGACTATCTGGGTATCACATCATATATTCTTGATTACTAGTTACTAATGTATATGACTAAAGTGACAAGAAGTCTGGTTCAGAACTGGTTACCAAGAGAAATTATCGCATAATCGCCAGCCCTCTGTGAACTGCCTCCTTTTATCAACTTTACCCACATTTTTGTACATAGAATCATGTTCACTAGATATGATTATACTTTTAATAGACATTACCTACCACAAAGAAGCAATAATATCAAATTTTTAACTAAAATCGAATTATTTCTCACATTGAAAGTAAAAAATAAAAGTAAGTAATAATTTGTTACATTTAAGTAATGATTTGGTCTGGGTGTTTATATGTATAATAAGTATGTATTTACAAAAATAAAGTATATATGTATTTATATCAGTTTTCTAGGACCCATAGTACAAGCTCTGCTTAGTTTTGGACTAGATAGCGTTGTGTGAATGTGGTAGAATATGATTATATTAATTTCTAACAGTATTTATTTTTAATTATAACAGACACTTGCAACATATTTCTGAAAATAATAAAATAAAGCTTTCCGAATAAGTCGTATCCTATTCTGAAAATGCTTTCAACTCTACTACACTACACTACCTAAACTAGTAGCCTACTCGGCAACTGTCGATTTTGCCTTTTCAATTCAGATATTCTTCGGGACCGATATTTTTTGTATGGATCTATGTTTCTTTTTTTGCACCAGCGGCAAAGTTTATACAAAATTTCATGATGATCAGTTGAGCCGATAGGATATGAAAACATAACGTTGCTTTCATAATGTCAGTTGATATAGTATTGATAAAGCTCCAAGGAGATTACCTCTCCAAAACCATACAATATTCTTTCAAGTCATTTGGTGCTGTATGTCTTTCATCATCATCATCATTTTCTAAATCTTGTTTTGCATTCATCGTAGATGATGACATTTTTGATAAAACCAAAAAAAAAATTAGAATAGTAACGTCTATTCTAAATTTTTCGTTTAATCAAGTTCTAGAAATCTACTATCTATGTATAACTGCGCTCATGTCTCTTCTATTCTTTCGATTTACATCCACAACCAAAGACTAAAGGGTGGCATTGACACAAAGGACTGTTTATATGATTAAGTAATGCAACCTAATATAGTCCTTCTGCTGGTAACACTTAATGATAATAATTACGTAATTACTTTTGATGATATCCTTTACAGTAGAGTCCTTATAAAGATGGTGACCTAAAAAAAAGTGTAGTAATGTCTTATTATAAATGACTACAGTTGTCTCAATGCCTAAGGTGGTAAATAATAATAACTTAAAACACTAAATACATGGCCGTGTGATCCTGAACTAGACAGAGCCTGTTCTATGGTAATCAGACTGCTGATATACATACTTTCATATTTCTATATATATAAAGAATGAACCAATTATTTGTCCTGGGTGGAAATCGAATCCAAGACATCTGGCTCAAGATCAAAATTAGTAAACTACCAGGCCTGTCATAATAAACATACAGTTTAATGGTAAGTGTTAACCTGTGCCTCAAGAAACTGCCAACTGGAGTGATATTACTCTTGCTTAGTTGACTATCCGTGTGGTGACGGATTAAGAATACTGAGTGTCACTAGCCCCTATTCATCCCGTGGATGTCGCAAGAGCCGACTAAGGAAGCAACTTACCCAGGACAACAGCACTGTAAAGAGAAGCAAAACTTGACACAAACCCTATACCAACCCGTCTGGCCAGCGTGGTATGGTTGGGCCAAAACCTCCTTTCTAAGGAGAGGCTTATGTCCAGCAGTGGACTATTAAAGGCTGTTGATGATGATGATTGATGAGTCGACTATCACCTATCCTAAGGATAAGTATATTTACAGTATATTTATCCTATCCTAAGTTAAACTTAATCATATGATAGAGGGGTGGTTTGGGCTACGGTAACCTCAATCACTCGGTACAAAGCAAGGAAAGACTACTCTTTCCTTGCTTTGAACCGAGTGATTAACTTACTAACTTAACACCAGTTTTCTGTGAGGCCGTGGTGTCAGCCAGGTCAAGTTAGCCCATTTATGCCAACACATGGCTCTACCACGGTAAATATTAGTGGTGGTTTAAGCGGTCGCCACGCCGTTTTCTACTGCGTTGAGTGTTGTGGGTTCGATCCCCACATGGGACACCACTTTGACACCAAATTGTTGTTTTAAGTCTGGTTTGTGTCTGTTATATTTATGTTTGAAAAGTCTCCCGCGACACAGGATATATTCCTAATGCGGGAGTTCTCTTTTAAACAGTTTTTTTTATTAAGTTACCACAAGCATAACTTACAAATACACCTTTATTTTTTGACAAAACACTCATAAACCTTCAACTTATAGGCACATACACCATCAATAACAAATATTATACAATAATATATCTATAGAATATGTTTATGACAAGAACACATGACGTCACTGTTGTTCCGTGACGTCATATATTTTTGTTCTTACAATCGAGTTATTCTTTTAAAAGAGCTCTATAAAAGCTTCCTTTGTGTGGCTGTCTATTTATCTATCTGTTTCATGGTGTATAATGGGGCACATTAATATGTTTAGTTTATTTAGAATATGATTATAAAACATTAATTAAAAACATGGATATATATATCAAGAGTTTGTTACCTACAACATTGGCTGAAAGTGTTTAATAATAGATTTCTTGTGTTATTGGAAATTTACTGATTTGCAACTGTTTCTTGCATACCCCTCCCCGTTTTAAGCATAGGATATGAAACTATTATTATGTACCTACTTATAGGAAGAATATTCATTATCTCATTTAAAATCGTAACGAATTTTCTTATATGTGTCCTTAAAAGGCGAATATGGATGGCCACTCACACCTTAACCATAAATATAGTTTAGTTCGTATACAAAAGAAATATTTTGTAGAATTAAGGAACTACAATTCTAAAAATGCTACCAAAAGATATAGTATGATTGTGTTTTGCCATTTAATTTGGCACAAACAGTCATTTAAAACAAAATTACACAATAAATATACAAGTGATAGACAAAGATAGACGAGTGATAGACAAAGAGTGCCGAAATCAAGTCAAGCTGCATAAGGCACAGATTTTACTGCGTTATATCAACACTGCAAGCTTTTACTTATATTGTGACAAAACATATACCATATTATAACAATTGTGTCAAGGAATACAATGCAGGCTACGTAATACTAAGTATAAAATGCGGGAATCCAAAAAACAAATACACATGAAACTTTAGTGCACCCTATTGTGTACCCCTGTCATGATATTCTATAATTATTCCTGGTGTTACTAACCTCTGCAAACTTTGACATTTCCTCACCATCAAGCAGGCCACGTGTGGGGGCCATGCTTTAGGACAAATGAGTACGCTCCACCGGAGTGATACCACGGCTTCACAGAAAACCAGTGCAAGGCTTTCGTTATCTATATTTATAAAAAAAGAAAGTGACAGACTGTTTAACTGACTGATCGATCAACGCACAGCTGAAACCGCTAAGTCTAGAAGCATGAAAATTTGTACAAATATTCCATAGGTGACCTAGGTATACACTAGGGCAGGATTTTTAAAAATTCCACCCCCAAGGGTGCAAAATGGGGGTTGGCAATTTATATGAAAGTTTGTTATTTAAGTAAGTTTCAAACACACAGTAAACACTCTCAGTATATCTCTTCTTTTATACATTTACATATAATCTTAATTCATTGTATCCTCTACCATGTCTGATGCAGACGTAATCTAGTTCTTCAATATGTGAGTCAGAGCCCAAACCCTACTTTCCTGTGATACGGGGGGAGGACTCTGAGCGTTTCCCCTCCTATACCATAAAATAGGCTGTAAACTTGCTACATCATATTCTTCTTTAGATATAGCGTACAAATCATTGCATTTTCACCCTTATTACGGACTGCACGGATTGACTGCACGGATGGCGTAGTGGTTTAAGCGGTCGCCACGCCGCTTACTACTACACTGAGTGTTGTGGGTCCGATCCCCACATGGGACGACACTTTGTGTGATCCACAATTTGTTGTTCTGAGTCTAGGTGTTCTTTGTATCCGTTTCATGTATGTTTGTAAAGTCCCCCACAACACAGGATATATTCCTAATGCGGGAGTTATCTTTAGAATAATAAAAAAATGTATTACATCATGTATTTTGAAAAAAAGCTAAATTTAATAAAAAAATGTACTTTAATACTAAACCCTGTGTGTTGAAATGTGGCTTAAATTATTCGAGTATATTATTTTCATACCATTGTTAGTTAACAATACAGTATGTTATAAAATTAATGGCTATAAATATCAAAATAGGTTAGTACAATAATTGAATATGAAATTTTCAATACCCACATATTTAAATACGAAAATAGAGATCAATATTAAGGTAAATTATCAGTTAAAATGTTAGGTTGTCTCTGAAAACAGTTTAAATAAACAATATTAATTAATTCCTTTGGGCTGGCAATGTTTCACTGAAACCCAATGTTAATCAATTCTTTCTTTTCACCAAGTGAGTGAGGTTCCCACCACCCCTTATTCTAGCTGAAGACCATTCCAAGGCTGGCAATACAGTCGTGTCTCTTACCTATAGATGTCCAGGGGCGAAGGTAGTCACTTACCGTCCACCCGTCTGCTCGTTTGTCCTCTGTACCTTAAAAACTCCGTGTGGTGACTGGTGACTGCAAAGAGAAGGAAAACTTGAAACAAACCCTATACCAACCCGTCTTGCCAGCGTGGTATAGTAGCCCAAAACCTGCTCTCTAAGGAGAGACCTATGTCCAGCAGTGGACTATTATAGGCTGTTGATGATGATTAATGACCTGAAATACATTTGCTTATGAAAAGTGCACCCGAAACGTCATCGAAAACCATTTTGTTGTTGATGATATCAAAGTTGTCAAGATAAGTATTCAAACTGTTTTCTATAACATGTAAACTACTAAAGCTAGTATCGGAAATTTCCATAAGTATAGATAAACATCAATAATAGCTCGCTTCAAGGATTTTAACAAAATAGTTGTAAATATACTAATATTATTGTCTATGATTACCTAACGCTTTGCCATAAAACTATAAACGAAATTTTACAAAGCATTTACCGGGACACAATCAAATTTAAACCTTATCTTGAAAGAGGTAACATCAAAAATCGAAATTATCCTCCTAACTAATTTTTTGAAGCCACGTTCATCATTGTAACAGCGCCATCTCTACGGATTCCTACAAAATTTTTCACTGAACCATTTTCTTATAAGAACTACACACACAAATGTATTTTCTATGCAACGAACGCACACTAAAACAGCGTTCTGTACAATCGAACGCACCCACACGCCGAAGAAAAAAACGATAAAAAAGGGCACACAAACATAACTTTCGTGTACACACACTAGACAAGGATAGGTGACGCTGTCTAGAAAAAAATAAAATTCAATTTTGGAATAGTTATTTCATATTTTGATAACGTTTTGATAATGTTTAAAAGTTATTTGAATTGATAAAAAGAGTGGACAAGTAAAGTTAACTAAAATGTACAAGGTTCATACAAGCGTGGGCAATCACACAGAGACGAGTGTACGGACGACACTGCACTCTGTCAGTGTAGTGGTGGCTTGTACTGCGACCAAACAGTCTTGAGTTTTGAGTTGAGCTCCATTTCTGAATGAGGGCAGACGTACTTCTTTTTTCTTTGTGACCTACGATTGTTTAAGACCAGTGAGTTCAAAAACTTTCAATAATTCAAATTTGACACAGCACTAAGTTTTAAATTTTAATACGTGTTTAAAAAATTAAGCACGGTGCTTTAGATTTAACTTAAAACCATAAACATTATGTAATGATATAAAAATAATCGAATTTGTTATTGTTCAATTTAATTGTGAAGAGAACAGTGTAGATATTATTTATCCTTG